TTGTTGAAACCTAGAGAATGGATCAATTGAATCAAATTTTATGCATGATTTTAGGAAGATTTATTAGAGGTAGGGCACTAAATTGGAATTTTAAATATTAACTCTGAAGGAGAGGCCATACTGGATAAATAAAATATAGTGGTTCCCTCACTTATCATGGAAGTTATACTCCAGATACCTCCACGATAAATGAAAGTCAGCAAAGTAGCAATGTTGTATTTATTTTAGTATTTATATGTATCTTAAGGTCTTATAAACCTTTCCCACACTCTTATAAATCTTTCTAACACTTTTAAAAACACTTCTGAGTGTTCTTAACCATTTTCTAAACTTGTAAACTTATGTAATTTTAACAACAGTCTTATACTGTATGGTACAGTATGTATTCATCTTCTAAAGAAATACAAATTGTAAACTGTTTTGTTTCAAATTAATATTTTATATGTTAAAATTAGTACTTTTAATATATTTTATATATTTTTAAAAATTTAGGCAAAAAATCATTAAAACCATAAATGTTATACATATAAATATGTATACAGTACTGTATACTGCCTTAAAGTTCCACAATATAGCTATAAATAATTTAGATTGATATATTTTGAAAACCCATGAAATAGTCCATGAAAGTCAAACTATGAAATAGCAAGGGACTACTGTACACCATAAATAAAGTATACAGATCTAGATCTATAAGTACATGACATGATTTGAAAGGATGGCTGAGTATTAAAGCACATCAAATATGATAGCACACTGAACAAGTTTTTTCTTTTTAAAATTTATTTCCTTTTTCAATCTGGATGATTTATATACTACCTGTAGCCTAAGGCAGACATGCTGAAAAATATCATAGCTGTTATATAGAATGAAGGAAATAAAGGGTTGAAGTAGAGACTAAAACACTAAATGAGATTACATATTAAAGACTTTTAGAAAATGTGAACACATCAAAGAATTTTAAATAATTATTTTCTAGAGCAGTAAAGCTGAAGGCAGAATGGGCAGGGTATTTTGAGGGAGATTATTAGTAGCAGTGTATCTTTAAGCTTTTTTTCTTTTTGATTAGGGAATTGAACTCAGGACCTTTTGCTTACAAGGCAGGCGCTGTGTCGCTAAGCTATCTCCCCAGTCCTCAACTTAATTTTTTAAACCTTCATCATGTATTTTGATCACACATCTATGTAGTTTGTGCCCCCATTTATTATTATTTTTAATGTGTTATCTGAAGAAGATACTTGAAAATAAAGTTATCGGATAGATTTAATGTATTGTTTTATGAGTTTGTGACAGAATATTCCCTTTTAAACTAAGGTTGGGGTTACAGTTCAAAAACAGTTAGCTCTTCCCCCTTCATAGTCCAGCCATTTTGTCAGAAGAATAACCTGTGGTCTATAATAAGTCTTCAGACTGATGTAATGGTTGGATTGCATTTTCTCTGCCCATCTCCATGAACATGACCATAGAAATGAATAATTTTCGGTACCAAGAATAGTTTATTTTTATTTGGTGTAAAAAATGTGATCATGTTTAATTGCTTTTTTAAATAAGATGTTTTCCTTAATTTTTCTGAACTTTCTTCTGTAAGAGATAGGGTTATCTATTTTAAAAGTTTTGAAGCTTATCTTGATTAAGTAATTTGCTTTTGGTTTAAGTAATGCTATTTTTAAATAAAATGCAGATTGTGAACTATTGAATTATGAGTATTTCTTTTACTTTTGCCTAGCAAAATAGAAATGCTTTTTTATAAATTGGATCTCATTTTCTCTGCCCGTCTCTATGAACGTGACCATAGAAATGAGTAATTTTCGGTACTCATTTCTCAACAAATTGTTGACAGTATTGTTGAAAATATACTCTTTAGTTTTTAGCATGTGAAGATTCAACTTTTGACATGAACTTCAACTTGGAAATAAAGTGAGACAGTGCTTTTGAGACATGTAGTAATTCTTTTTCTGGCTGCCAGCAAACATCTGACACCAATACAGTTTCCTAGTAGTAAACTTACTTTTAGTATGTCACTCTTCTGTTGAAGAACCTTAATGGACTTCCTTTTGTATGCCAAATTTTTCATGAGATTTAAAGGCTTTTTCATTATTTACCCCACTCATCCTCATTTCTGTCTACATATTACGGTCAACATTTTTTCTCACACATCTTTGTGCATTCTTGTTTTTAAGATTCTACAGTCTTATGTGATAACAAGACACCATTTATTTCACATAAAGCTGGAGTGAATTGTTGTCACAGTTTTGCCAGGCTGTGAAATTGTCGACTTGTGGCGGAATATGGAGGTACATGTATAAGGACTAATGCCTGGGGCATATAATATTATAGGGAATTTGTGCAATTTAAGAATGCTCCTATGGTGAATTGGTATCTTTTCATTGTTCCCACTACTGTGAACTCCTGTGATAACCAGAAATTATCCTGCTACCTCATCTATGCACTGATTTGGTGGTCCGTTTTTCACACTTTTTTTTTTTTTTTTTTTGCAGAACCGGGGGTTGAACTCAGACCCTTGCACTTGCCAGAGAAGCACTTATTCCACTGAGCCATCTCCCCAGCCCAGTGGTCCGTTTTTAATAATCTATTTTTAATGCATCTTCCTTTGTTTTTCTGTGTTGGGTTATATGTATACTGTTTCAAAAATTAAACTCTTAAGGTATCTTACTATACAATGGCTTATGTTTTGTACATAGAATACTCTCAATAACATGTTGCAAACATTAGTGTTTACATTTATAAATAGATTTTTTAAACAGTTTATATAAAATGCCTTTTAATACGAATGAAAATAGATCTCTAAAGATTGTGACTATTATATTTTCCTTTTTCTTGTCTTCCGTCTAATAATCATTCTTGACATTGTGCTATTACCTTATCTTTACTTCATGTTTTATTTGAAGTACAATGAACAATGGTGATGACTTTCAAGATGTAGAAGGATGTCTTTAAAAAAATCAAAGAAGAGTAAAACCACTTGTTTCACAATTCCTGAAGTTTTGAACATTTGTACTGCTACTGCTTTTGTATATTAATTGTGTGCCATAGAGTCTTACTTCCTCTTCTTAAAACTAGAAATAATTTCTGTTTGATTTTTTTTTCTTATGAAGAGTAAACAGATTATGTAAAATCAGTGTACCTGGCATAGCACTCTAGATAAACTTTTTAATGTGAAATTTTGGGGCTGGAGAGCTAGCTCGACAATCTAAGTGCCTATCTGGCAAGCACAGGGACCCAGGTTCCATCCTTAGTGTTGTATGCTGTGCCAGCCCCAGATTCCCAGGCACACTGTACCAGCTACCAAAACTAGGCATGATAGTGCATGCCTGAATTCCAAGGCTGAAACAAGAGGATCACTATGAGTCCGAGACACATAGGGAGACCCTGTACCAAATAAATAAATAACTTTTTTAAAAAATATGAAATTTCATAATTTTACTCCATTTACTTGATGTAGATGAAATATTCAGATGGCCATTGTTTTGAGTGCCATTGTGAAAAGTTGTAGTAAACTATTCATAAGCTACTAATCCAGAAAAGAGATCTTTTGGGGAATGACTGTATCATATAATCTATCATCATCGTCCAGGTGACATTATAACTTTTAGGCCAGGAATTGAGATAAATATTTAGTAAGTAGTATGTACTTCAATACATAAAATCTTTAGTAGTATGTACTTCAATACGTAAAACCAGAAAAGATCATAGTACTTCACCCCAACAAAAATATTTTAGAGGTCTGTGTTACATGTCATAATCTATGCCACCTTATTCACAAATAAATTAATATGCTACTTGCCCTTGAGAAGTTTATAATCTAATAAGACAGATGG